ACCTTCGTATATCTCTCCCGAGTCGCTGTTGGAGCTTTAAGCGGCTCTGTCGGTGTCTTCTCCCGTGCGCTCACGTACCTTGAGGCGAAGCCCAGGGTCTAAACTTCGAGTTGAATTTCTAAACCTAGGCTTGAAGATTTAGGGTTTAGGGTTTAGTGTTGAGACTTCCGGTTTAATTAGGGTTTAGGGTTTAGGGTTGAAGATTTAGGCTTTAGGGTTTGGGGTTTGCAGAATTAGGGTGTAGGCTTGCAGATTTAGGGTTTAGGGTTAAAGATTTTAGGGTTTAGGGTTGAAGATTTATGGTTTAGGGTTCAATTAGGGTTGCGGGTCTATCAATTTCCCAACCCAAACACGCGAAAAGACTCCTTAACCCTCCTCCTCAGGGTGCAAAGAGCCATGTAGCATGGTATTGCTCCATTTCGGGCCCGAACCCCAAACCGTCAGCGCAAGACCGCCAATCCATGAACCCTAAACCTTAGATAAACGAAGCCTGTGCTATATTCTTATCGACCCCCCTTCAAAGAACCCTCTAAAGGAAACCTATATGTTCCGAACTCTAAACTAAACCGAACCCTCTGAGATCCTTAAAGCTTCAGAGCCTCTGGGTATGGTCTTGTCAGGTTTAGGGTTTAGGGTCTTGTCGGCCAAGAGGCTCATCATAAGACCGACAGACAGCCGAGAGCGAACCGGCACTGCTTCGCAGTGGTGCGCGCCAGGTGTTTACCTGACTCTATGAGGCCTTTACACGAATGCTTCAAACGTTTCTTTACGGTTCGGTAGGGCCAGAGCTTCATACGGTTTCTTTCAGGGGTTGTGGTCGGGGTCCTTAAAATGCGGAGCATGCTGTTTAGGGTCTCTCTAACTAGCCTAGCTTTTTGGGGATTTTTACCAGGAGATGATAGTCAGGAGCCCTTCACATGCAGGGTTTTCAGGATCCAATGAAACCCTAAACTCAAGACTCCAAGCTCTAAGCCCTACCTACACCCCAAACATCCCTTTAAACCGGATCATGGGACTTGGTAAGGTTATAACCATGGTACTTGTAATCATACAAACTTATAGCTACCGTTAAAGTCTAGAGTCTAAGCCCTGAGCTTTAAACCCCAAGCCCAGAAATGGTCGGGTCACCCGCAGCTCGCCCTTCTCCCCACAAAGAACTCGGAGCTCTTGCAAACCTGCGGTTCGTCAAAGCGTAAGGATGCAGAGTTTTGGGTCTAGGGTTTGTAGGGCCTGGGGGCAAGGCTTAGGGTGTAGAGCTTAGGGCTTAGGGTCTTGCTTGCAAGGCTGGAGTGGGGATTTGGGATTCAGGGCTTCGGGCAGGAAGTGCTCAAGGTGAGGGATTTAGGCTTCAGGGGTTGAGACTCAGGATACGCTGATGCTTAAAGCCCTACATCACCTAATCCTCCATGCCTTCTTGTATCATCCAGGGTCTTGGTCAAGCAGGCTTTGCTTGGGAGTAGTCAGGGTACTTTTGACCCTGGGCCCTAAACCCCAAACCCC